ACATACATCAATATTTTGTTTGTTATTTGTTATTTACTGTCTTATTTCCTCCCAAACATTCCATACAAAACACACTCCGCAGAAACACAAAAATACAATAAAATAAATAGTGATAATAATGAAAATAAATATTTTTCCCCTTTTATCTTACAAAATCTTTTCTTCAGTTTTGACTTCCTATCAAGTCCCTTCGCATATATTTTATCTTACAATTGAATGTACACAAAACAATAAACCTTTCTATATAAATTTTCCAATAGATTCTGAAAACATAATAAATCCTTAATAGTTGTCCACCTTCTTTTAGTTCCTTTATCACTCGAATGCGAGCACGGAGTCAAAACTATTATTGTGTTTTTGAACATATCTTCTATAACCATCCCAGTTTTCCACGATTTTTTGCTTTCAGTTTCCTCTGAGTTTACTAGTCAATTGAGCCGTCTCCACCAATTCCTGTAATTTGATTTGACAATCTGTTATTTTTGGAGCCTCCTGATTTTTCCATCCCTTGGCAACGAGTATTCGATGTCCATTCTCATTCATATATATATATATATATATATATATATATAATATGTTCCTCAATGTACCAAGCAAACACATATATCAATATATAAACCACATGTCCAAAACCCAGAAGAAAAGTCCTAAAGCCATTTTGACTCTTTCACTCACCTCAAATATTTCTCTACAAGGTCGAAGGAAATGCAGAAACCTCCCCATTGTCTCTGTCCTCACAAATCCTGCCTTAAGGGCACATTTAAGGTGTGAATAGGGTGAGCCTGTGACCTGGCTCAGGAATGAAGTATTATCATTACAAGAGAATGGCCAGCCTCCCCAGGTAATCTAGTCAAGTGGCCATTAACAGGTAACCTGGCAGAAAGGGTAAAAACAACACACTTCCACTGCGACCAGTGCTTTTCCCGTCATCTAGCAGAGTTTGCGAACAGCGATGTGGCCTCTGTGGAGAAAGCTCAGGCATGCAGAAAAAGACTCCGTACGCAGCTTCTTTCTAATCTAAGAAGATTTATTGTACAGCGGCAAAATAAATCAGCAGTCTGGGAGAGAGAGCTGACATGTATTTCACATTACAAAGTGTACACCCCCCCCCCCGTATGTGAACACACCCCCAGCGACAGGATATAGCTTCCCGAGCTATTAACCCTATAAGCTCTGGGTCTCCTCACACCCCTCTCATCCTGTACCGCTGGGGTGAATGTAAGCACTACCACTTACCCCAAACCCAACCCTTCACAGAACTTGCCCTGTTTTTGGAAGCTCAAAGGTTTAGTGAACCCATCTGCCAGATTCTCTGGCTCAGACAGTACTTCAGCTTCACTAAGCCTGTCTGAACACTCTGACATGCATTTTGGAAACATATGTCCAAATGTTTGGTTCTGGACATAAACTGTCCAGACTCTGCTAACTTCAAACAGGGTTGATTGTCTTCCCAAATGGTGATGGGCAAGCAACACTCTCCACAGATCTCTTGGACCAAACACCACAGATCTCTTGGACCAAACACTTTAGAACTCTAGTTCCCTACAAAGCTCTGACAACGCACTGAATTCAGCTTCTGGTTTTTTTTACAAATGTCAATTTGAACATTTTTTTCCAATTCATTATATATCATTTCCCACAATTTTTAAACTTCTCTACATTTCCACCACATATGATAAAAAGTCTCTTCTTTTTCTTTACATTTCCAACATATGTTTGACTCGGTTTTATATATTTTTGCTTTCTGTACTGGTGTAATATACCATCTATACATTTTCCAACTACAGTGGTACCTCGGGTTAAGTACTTAATTCATTCCGGAGGTCCGTTCTTAACCTGAAACTGTTCTTAACCTGAAGCACCACTTTAGCTAATGGGGCCCTGCCGCCACTGTGGCGCATTTCTGTTCTCATCCTGAAGCAAAGTTCTTAACCCGAGGTACTGTTTCTGGGTTAGTGGAGTCTGTACCCTGAAGTGTATGCAACCTGAAGCGTATGTAAACTGAGGTACCACTGTAGTTTTCTTTCAAAAGATAACAGTCTGTAAATTTCAAATTTCCTTTCCACAATTTTTCCCAGTCCTCAAATTGTATGTTATGTCCTATATCTTGTGCTCATTTGATCATGACCGATTCGACCTCCTCATCTTTTGTTCCCCATTCTAGCAAAATACTATACACTTTCTTCAGCACCTGCACTTCTTCTATAATTTCCTGTTGAAATCTAGAAAATGTATAACTAAACCCTTTCTTATTATCTTCCTTGTACAACTCATGTAATTGTCTGTAGTGTAACCAACTCTGCAAATGATCTTTTATTTCCTCATATTCTTTTAATTACCATTTCCCTTCAGCAAATCTATGTATGTAGGCCACGTCCCCTTTTTCTCTCTCTCCTGTATGAATTCTCTGATGGGAAAACAGACAGGAGCTTTCACTGAAGCTCTTTCCACATCCCACACACTAATAGGGTTTCTCCCTTGTATGAATTCTTTGATGGAAAGTGAAAGAGGACCTCTGACTGAAGTTCTTTCCACATTCCACACATTGATATGGTTTCTCCCTGTATGAATTCTCTGATGGGACGTGAGAGAGGAGCTATCAGTGAAGCTCTTTCCACATTCCACACATTGATATGGTTTCTCCCCTGTATGAATTCTTTGATGGGAAGTGAGAGAGGAGCTCTTCCTGAAGTTCTTTCCACATTCCATGCACTGATATGGTTTCTCCCCTGTATGAATTCTTTGATGGGAAGTGAGAGAGGACCTCTGATTGAAGCTCTTTCCACATTCCACACACTGATAGGGTTTCCCCTGTATGAATTCTCTGATGCTTAGTGAGATTGGAGCTCTTCCTGAAGCTCTTTCCACATTCCACACACTGATAGGGTTTCTCCCCCGTATGAATTCTTTGATGGGAAGTGAGAGAGGAGCTATCAGTGAAGCTCTTTCCACATTCCACACACTGATAGGGTTTCTCCCATGTATGAATTCTTTGATGGGAAGTGAGACTGTGGCTGTGAGTGAAGCTCTTTCCACATTCCACACACTGATAGGGTTTCTCCCCTGTATGAATTCTTTGATGGGAAGTGAGAGAGGAGCTATGAGTGAAGCTCTTTCCACATTCCACACACTGATAGGGTTTCTCCCCTGTATGAATTCTTTGATGGGAAGTGAGAGAGGAGCTATGAGTGAAGCTCTTTCCACATTCCACACACTGATAGGGTTTCTCCCCTGTATGAACTTTTTGATGGGAAGTGAGTTTAGAGCTATCAGTGAAGCTCTTTCCACAGTCCACACACTGATAGGGTTTCTCCCCTGTATGAATTCTTTGATGGAAAGTGAGAGAGGAGCTCTGAGTGAAACTCTTTCCACATTCCACACACTGATAGGGTTTCTCCCCTGTATGAATTATTTGATGGGACGTGAGAGAGGAGCTCTTCCTGAAGCTCTTTCCACATTCCACACACTGATAGGGTTTCTCCCCTGTATGAATTCTTTGATGGGAAGTGAGAGAGGAGCTATGCGTGAAGCTCTTTCCACATTCCACACACTGATAGGGTTTCTCCCCTGTATGAATTCTTTGATGGGAAGTGAAAGAGGAGCTATCAGTGAAGCTCTTTCCACATTCCATGCACTGATAGGGTTTCTCCCCTGTATGAATTCTTTGATGGGAAGTGAGACTGTGGCTGCGACTAAAGCTCTTTCCACATTCAAAGCACTGAAAAAGTTTCTCCCTGTATGAATTCTTTGATGGGAAGTGAGATCGCAGCTCCTCCTGAAGCTCTTTCCACATTCTACACACTGATACGGTTTCTTTCCTGTATGAATTCTTTGATGGGAAGTGAGAGAGGAGCTCTGACTGAAGCTCTTTCCACATTCCATGCATTGATATAGTTTCTTTCCAAGGAGATTTTGTTGATGGGAAGTCAAACAGGAGCTCTGACTGAAAGTTTCCCCACACTCCAAATTTTTACATGGCTTCTCCTCTCTGGGGATTTTGTCGTGGTCACCTTTGTTCTCGATTTCCAATTCCTCACAATCTGCATTGGGGACAAAAAGGGATTAGAGCCTCAGGAACAAATGGAGAAGATCTGAAGGGAGTTGGGTGTGTGTTCATTACCTGTGTTGTTTGTTTATTATGAGATTCTGATGAGTTGTTGAATGTTGCTTTGTTATACAGTCGTGGTCAAAATTGTGGACGACTTCCAGAAAAAAGTGTATTTCAGAGGTTTGATGGCTCAAAACACCACTTCTTTTGGAGTAATATCATAAAATTATATATCAATGGAAAGATAATTTAATCAAGAATGTAATCCAACAAAGTTTGTTCAATTACCTGTATTTTATCAAACGTTATAGCCAATAACCAAGAAAGGAAGCACAACTTGCTTAGGTTGACTTTTTTCAGTGTGTTATGTGACTGCTATCAAGTTGGTTGGTTTTTTGTCTTCTTTCATTTAGTGAGGTTGTAAAACATAATAAAATTATAGAAATGGCACAAAGAGTTGACTGGTCACCCAGAAAGCAATGTAAGATTCTAATATTAAGTGAACAAGGCTACAGTTATGAAGAAATTAGATGAAAGATTGGGGAAAACAAAACCAAAGCTGGCCTTTCTATATTTTTGAAGGGGTATAGGGAGACTCAGTCACTACAAAATCTGACTTTTGGCAGGAAAAGGTGCACAAAGGCAAGTGACGATCGAAGAATGGAGAGACTGTCCCTACATGACAGAAGAAAATCATCTGGGTGTATACAAGATGACATGGCGCAATTTAATGGGAAGTTGAGTGCAAGGACTGGTCTAAATGTTAGAATTCTAAGGAAAAAGCCATTGTTATCTCTCAAGCATAGGTTGAAAAGATTAAACCCATGTTAACTAGACAGCGGAACAATGGGACACTACCTTGCTTTGTAGTGATGGCATGAAATACGCAAGTTTCTTTAATTGGAGAAGAGGAGAAGAATCAGAGAAGATTTACATCCTACTTGCATTACACCGACTGTGAAACACCCAGACAGTGTGATGATCTGGGGTTATATGGCAGCAAAAGGTGTGGGCAGAATTTGCGTCATTAATGGGAATGTTGAGCCCAAACTGAAGTGTTCCACAAGTGATCTTTTCCCAAATACTGAAGCATTTCTATGTATATTTATACAAATCTTTCTTTCTTTCTTTCTTTCTTTCTTTCTTTCTTTCTTTCTTTCAACAGGATTCAGTTCCATGAATGTTCCATGCTGTGTGCAAAAGGTGCTTTAAAGATAATCCTATTGCACTGCTGGAATGGCTTGGGAATAGCCCAAACATTAACCCAATCAGAAATCTATGGCGCCAACTGTGGTGTTTGTACGGAGCCCCCAGTCATCTCACGGACTATTGACCCGTACACCACTAATCCGCTGCCACCAACCAGTTGGCCAGTTAAAGCAAAATGGAATCCAGCATAGATGGGAATTTCCAGAAGGAATTTCCTTCTATTACAAAGACAAGAGGTTCAAACTAAGTAGCCTTCAGGATCTGGAAAAATTCTCCAGAAGATATGATAAAGAGTTGGGAAAAGTGGAGAAGGTAAGACCAGGACAAGACCAGTCTGAAGAGGAGAAAAGGAGAGGGGAAGAAGAGGAAGAGGAAGAAGAGGAGAAAGAAGAAGAGGGAGAAGAGGAAGAAGAGGATAATAATAACAAGGACCCCCAAGTTTGATAGTAGACTTAAACAAACCAGAAAAAGGCTCTGAAAATACTTTCATAGAATGTGAATGGACTTAAAAATAAAAATAAAAGGCACAAAATCAAACCTGTCTTGATTAAACGGAATTTAGATATAACCTGTTTACAGGAAACACATGTCGCAAGGAAACATAAGAGGATTTTAAGAACTAAAAGATTGGGGAAAGACTTTATTGCCTCAGACACAAACAAAAAAAGAGGGGTTGTATTGTACATAATGGAGAAATATGACCCAAAATTAATTTATAAAGATGAGGAGGGGAAAGTGCTGATAGTGCAAATTACGTTCCAGGGGGGAAAGATAATCATTGTGGGAATCTACGCACCTAATGACAAAAAAGCCGACTTTTATTCGAAGCTCATTGAAACATTATCAGAATTTTTGGATCACAGAGTGATAGTAATGGGGGATTTCAACAGTGTGGTTATTCCAGATTTGGATAGATCAACGAAAAGGTGAGACACAAATGAAGGTAAACTACCAAAAACATATTTTGATATATCAGACACTATGGGGCTAACAGATATTTGGAGACTTAGAAATCTCGCAACAAAACAGTTCACATTCTTTCCAGGTCCAAATCCAAGCTTTGGTAGAAAAAATTACATTTGGACTTCTAATGAATTGGTGCCAAGAATTTCCAAAATTGAGATTCTCCCAAGGACATTATCAGAACATAATTCGTTATATTTGGAGTTAAAAGGAAAAGACCCTTCATCATTCAGATGGAGGATGAATGAAAGTTTATTCAATGACCAAAAGGTAGTAAATTAGGCAAAAGAGACAATTACAGAATAAGTGGAATTTTAACAAAGGAACACCCATTGAAACAGTATGGGATGTACGCAAAGCTGTAATGAGAGGATTCCTGATCCAAAAGAACAGTTTTCAGAAAAGAGGAAGGGAGAAGAAGAAAGAAGAAATCCTGGCCCATCTCATGGAGAATGAGAGACTGCTGACAATAAAACCAAAAGATGAGCTAATAAGACAAAATATTAAATTGTTGCAGACTCAGTTCTCTATGTTGGTGAGTCAGGATGTAGAGTGGAAAACAAAAACAATGAGACAAAGGAATTTTGAATCCGCCAACAAAACTGGAAAATTATTGGCGTGGCAATTAAAGGCAAGACAAAAACAAAACACAATTTGTAAGATAAGAGAGGCAGAAAACATCATTGAAGACCCCAAAGAAATTAGAAAGACCTTTCTGAAATTTTATAAAGATTTGTATAAGACAGAGAAAGAAGATGGTAAGAAAATAGAAAATAGAAAAGTCATCAATTACAGCAGATCCCCCCAGGAGAAAAGGAACAATTAAACCAGATAATTACAGAACAAGAAATTGAGAAGGCGATAAAGAGAATGAAGATAGGGAAAGCTCCAGGCCCTGACGGCATTTCGGCAAAATATTATAAGACACTGGTGGACCATTATTACCTGTGCTGTGTGAGGTTATGAATAACATTTTGAAGGAAGGGAAAATTCCAAATACCTGGAAAGAGGCGTACATCACTTTAATCCCAAAGAAAGATACAGATGGTTTGAGTGTTAAAAATTATAAACCTATTTCCTTATTGAACAATGACTATAAATTATTTATGGATGTGCTGGACAGATTAAAAACTTTTAAAGGAAGTAATACATAAAGATCAAGCTGGTTTCCTACCAGGGCGACAACTGAAGGACAATGTTAGGAACATAGTGGCTATAATTGAGTACTTGGGAGTCTAGAAATGATAAACAAGCGGCCTTGGTGTTCATTGATGCAGAGAAAGCATTTGATAATGTTTCGTGGCGGTTTATGAAAGAAAACCTAAAAACAATGGGAATAGGAGAAATGTTTTTGAAAGGTATTGAGGCTATATACTCAGAACAAAAAGCCAAACTTATTATAAATAATAATTTGTCTGACAACTTTGAAATCTCTAAAGGTACCAGGCAGGGTGTCCTTTGTCGCTCCTTTTGGTGGTATTAAACAAGAATTTGAGAGAAGTGTCAGAAATCAGAGGTATTAAGGTGGGATCGAAAGAGTTTAAAGTAAAAGCGTTTGCTGATGATTTAGTTTTAACATTAGAAGACCCAAAGAACAGTGTACAAAAAGCCCTAGAGAGAATGGAGGAATTTGGAAAAGTTATGGGATTAAAACTCAATAGAAATAAGACCAAAATGCTGGTAAAAAATATGAATAAAGAAGAGACAGAGGAATTGCAACACAGGACAGGAATTATGGTGGTTAAGAAAGTGAAATACCTTGGAATTTGGTTGACAACAGGGGAAAAAATTGTATAAAGATAATTATGAAACCACATGGAGAGAGATTAAGAAGGATTTAGAAATTTGGAACAGTTTGAAATTATCCTTTTTGGGCAGAATATCGGTGATTAAGATGAACGTTTTACCTAGAATGTTATTCTTATTCCAAACAATTCCATTGATTAAAGGGACAGGACAATGTAGAGAATGGCAAAAAATAGTGTCAAGATTTGTCTGGCAGGGAAAGAAGCCGAGGATCAAAATGAAAATGTTGATAGATGAAAAAGAAAGAGGTGGATTTGCCTTACCAGGTATGAATCTCTATTATGAAGCATCCTGTCTCGTATTGTTAAAGGAATGGATAACATTGGAAAATACGGACCTATTGGATTTAGAAGGTCATGACAACAGGTACAGGTGGCACTCGTACCTGTGGTATGATAAGGTAAAAGTTCTTAAAGGGGTTTTGTTTTTTTTTGAAAATAATTTTTATTGAAGTTTTAAACAACGAAGAAAGAAAAAGAAGAACATACACAATACATATCTCAAAAAAAAATTAAAAAAAAATGATTACAAAAACACAATTCAACAATAAAAAACAAAAAACATAACAATTAAAAACAATATCTCTTTTCCATTTCCGTTTTTTTAATTTACTTATTTTCTGGACTTCCTCATACCTCCCTCTTTTGTATTCCAATCCAAATTGTTTGTCCAGCAATTTCTTTTCAACTTTTTTAATCCCAATCTTTAACTTTAATATAATATTGTAATATATAACTTCAACTTCTTTAAACCTGATCTTTAATCTTAGTATAATATAACATTAAAATTTTCCCTCTTATTTGTCAAATTTCCGTTTCTTTAAACATCTTTAATCCTAATCTTAATCTTAGTCTATCATT